GCGCCCCAACATACGAGTTTTTCGAGATACGAGCCGACGAGCAAGTGATTTTTTGCTTTTAGTTACGAGCGAAATTCGAGATACGAGTTCGGTTTGGCTCTTTTTGACCAGAGTACTTTTGTTTTGTTTTTGCTTTTCTAAAATGTTTCTTTCTTCTTCTTCATTATTATTTGTTCTATATGCAAAGCTTTGTTTTTTGAGACTTGAATAAACAAATTCAATTTTATTATATTTTTGTGTGCTTTTAAAATTAAAACACAACAGGTAGTAACACGCAGTCGCGCCATCACGATCAGTTAGCAGCGTGCTTCCGCTGTGATAAGTTGTGTTTTGTGTTCGCGTTTTGTGTTGCATTTACATTTACAGTTTTAATTCATTTATTTTTATAACCATGGATAGGAAGAAAGTTTGTAAAAAGTCAAGTGCTAAGAAAAAGATGATGAGTATTGAATTAAAACGTGAAATTATAGAAAAACATGAGCAAGGTGTTCGAGTTGTTGACTTGTCGAGGCAGTATGGCCATAGTACGTCCATGATATGTTCTGTGCTTAAACGGAAGGAGTCGATAAAGAGTGTAACGCCGGCTAAGGGCCTTACGATAATAACGAGGATATCTAATTTATTTCTTTACATTCTCTTTTTTGTTTTTGTGCAATAAGTATTTGATATTTATAAATACGTTTTTATTATTTAAAACCACGTAACAAAAATAACTGGGGTGACATTTTGGAGGTTGGAACGGATTAATGGTAGTTCAATTGTTTTGTATGGGGAAATTTGCTTCGAGATACGAGTAATTCAAGATACGAGCAAGGTTGCGGAACGAATTAAACTCGTATGTCGAGGTACCACTGTATAGTGTCCAATGCGGGAGTCGATCCCGGATCGTAGCGGTCGAAAACCAACGATTTAGACCACACTTCTATCGACCTCCTTAGCGCTTGAGTTATTAAAATATTCTCTCATTCAAGAAACTTATTCATTTTAAACTTTTACTTAACTTTTACTTTACTTAAACTTTTTATCAAATGGTATAATGCAAGGGGTTATAATTTTTCGACTAATCTACCTGTATACCATCTATATAATATAGGTATATATGTGCCATTTATAAATCTCTTTCAAAGGGTTATGAATGCAAGATGGACTTTATCATGTTCACAATATTTTTTCCTAATCCAGGAAGGAAATTGCGTTATGACGTTTCACTATCGTGATTTTATGATTAATAAATGATATCAGTAATGAGTGGGTGAAATCTCTGCATAGCGGAAACTGGGATTACAATAACTCTTATCTTTGGAGAGAGTTGAAATCTGTGATTAGAGGCCTTTCAATCAAACTAAAATGTCAAAAAAACATGGGGAGATGGAAAAATGCCATTAATCAACCATTTTGGATGCTAGCACTGGTTTACTGGTCAATATTATTCCTTTTATGATAGGTAAAAATCGCCTGTTTTTTTTTTTTTTTTTGAAGCTATCTTATTTGAATAAATAGCAACTCAGTCTTGAGGAATGCCGGCTACGTATTTTAGGTGTTTAAAACTTGTGGTGTATCGACTGATGTCTTAAGTCGATGTAAGAGTCGATGGTGGGAAAAGTTGTGTGTCCTAGGGTCAAATTGCGCGATCACAAAGGAATCCAAAGCAGGAAAATTTGAGAAAGGAATTCCCCGGATGATCAGCATGGAGATTTCGGAACGTGCTGAGGCCCGCCATTCTCGTATTTCTTATAAACTGTGCATTGCAACAGCCTTTCTTTCTTACAAGATGTTTGGAGAAACTCGAACCTTCTTCTACGCATTCCCAACCTTAATCTAATCCTCCACACATTCCAGTCTTCCATTTCAAACTTCCTTTACCTGAACTCGGGAACATGTGTCGTACATTAAGTTGTACTGGGGATGTTTTGTAACATGGTTGACCTTGTTGGTAGGAGATTTGGTTGCGTGACATAGTTATCTCAAGTCTCAACACCAGACTCTTATCTACCGACCTTTCTCAGGTTCCGTCAGTCAGTCGGCTAGGTAGGTAGACGCTTGCTGCGTCGTCGTTACAATTCAAGGCACAATCTCACAGCAACAAAACGTCCCTCGCGTGCCTTCCTTTTCCTTTCCCCAGTTTATTTTTAGAATTATTATTATTTTTAAGATCATTATTATCATTTTTTAGCAACAACACAAGCGTAACTTTTTGTTTACTATAAAAAAATGTGACTTTCTAAAATTGTTATTATACCTTAATTGTTTTGTCTTCAACTATAGTTCCTATACATATTCTTCATCCTTTTTGTTGAGGGGGTTCTCTTCTCGGATATGTTTATCTTTAAAATAGTTAGAGAGAGATTCAACAATATTTTCAGCTTCTGAGTCAGATTGGATCCTTCCTCTCGCGGGACTTATCTGAAGCCTAAACAAACCAAAATGTTTAAGCCAATGTGTCAGGCATCTTGGTGGATGTTAAAAGTAGTAAACGGCTGGATTGTACGAGTGGCGAAAGTGATCAGCATACTATTCGACTACCGTTCACAGTATTCAACAAGATTTATTATACATGTTCATCTCTGATTTTTCAATTTGATAAAATCAACAAGAAATCCAGGGCTAAGTTTCTTTACTATATTTATTTCTCTAGCTCTTCAACAGGATAACCTAGAAGTATGACTTCCAACTAACTATATACGCCGAAAAATTTCCCAAATGTATTGGGAGATATTTAATTATTTGTTGTTAATATCAACTTTCAACACAGTTATTGGAATTTTGAAGATAGATGTATGTTACTCTAAATTTTCTTTGGGCCTCCCTCCCTAGCATCACACAGATATATCTCAAGGAGCTAAGTACTCTGTTTGACATCTTTGCCAAAACAATTGCTAGACATTATCCCCACACCACGGTGCCGTCCGGGCGTGGCAGAGGCGCGGATTGCTCCGACCTTGCCCACACTCTGACCATTGTCCAGGTTGATTACCTTTCCAATTAAACGGTTGATCCAATCTTGTTTTACAACTTTTTGTCCCGATCGACGCCCATGCTGCTAATGACCCGAGTCGTGACGACCTTTATTAAGCACACAGCTGTCGAACGCCCCACTTTCTCCGTCGATACTTCCGCCATCGCTGCTTGGCACCTTGCATGTGCTGCTGCTGTAACATACAAGTCCAGCAAACACTCGCAGCAACACAGATAGGTACAACTCTTAACGCGATCTCAACGTGTTGAATTAATAGTCCATCCTCCCTCATTAGAGATCTTTCTAAATGTTTCTCGATTCCCCCTGACCATATACAAAAATACTGAAGTGCTATATCACTCTCCAATATGTGGTGACCTGTGATACAGTCGAGGTCAGCGTAGAGTGGAAGGCCATATAGAAGGATGTGAGAATCAGTTCGTTTTTAAATTACGTTACCGTAAGTAGAGAGGTCTGGCCATTCGTGAAGCAGAGATCGGGTCCTGGCTGGTCGCCTCTTGAGACGATACTGAGAGTTCAGGGGTAGGTCCAATAGTATCATTGCGAGAACTTCCTTATTTGTTTAGAAACTTCCCTTCTCTAGTTGTCTGTAAATGATCATTGCTCTAGGCGTTATGAAGCCTCCTTTTGCAAATTTATAGGAAATGTATCGAGGTCTCTAGGTCTAAATAAGCTTCTTTTCCTTCGTGGCTTTATTGATCAACTTCCTTACTTGACCGTCCAATCTTTGATTAAATGTGTTTTAACACCTTCATTGGACTTCTTCCGTAACACAAGTATATGAGCATCGTATTGTAATTTTACACTGCTCAACACTGTTAAAATACACTCATGGACAAAGCTTTGATGCCGCCCAAGATTTTTTTTTTTTTTTTGAAGGAGACAGAGGAAATTTCGATCAAACTGGTTATCTCGTGTGTCTTCAATAAAGGTCACTTTAATATCTTTCAGAGTAATTGTCTGAATCCCGATATACATGCTGAAAGGTACAACTTTCTTAAGTTTTTTCTGTTTTGTGTTTTGAGTATACATAAAATGAGAATAATCGTGTCCCACATTTATGTCTGCGAGACGTAGAAATTGAGTTTAAAAAAAGGAACCAAACTATAAATAATGGATGGTGTGACGAGAATTCCTTTGCTATCAGTGGTAACCTTGGGTCTGTGGAGGAATGTGACTCGCAGCTCACTGTTGTTCACGACATCACATTGCTCACAACACCGCCACATGTATCGAAGCACCAATCTCAGAGAGTGAAACCGAGAACGTGGTTTCATTCAATTTCAAACACTTTTGAAACTTAAAGAGAACAAATTATACAATATTGTTTTTTTTTTTTTGCTTATCCCTAGTACACGTGGTACAGGCCATGATAATCATAGTGGGTAGAAGTTGGAGACTGCTTTTACTGTAAGTACACCACGTGTCTACACATGTGAAAAGCAGTTCGACTTTGCACTTACAAATGCCAGAGCCCCGTTTGGTTACTTGCACTCGCTGGTGGGGTTGGACTTTTGCTAGAATCGGGGGCCATTGAAGCATTACAATATTGTTAAAGCTTCTAAATAACCTCTTTGGATTTCAACCACATTTCGCATGAGATGTTCCATACATAGGGATGGAAAGATCAAATTTGAAGGCTGTAGTTCATTCTTGCTAGATATAGACAGACTTGGAATAATTAGATGTATGTGTAAAGGCATCTCCTGATTGTGAAACTGAAAGTTGTGCTGATGGCTTGTGCCATCTGTCGGAATAAATATCAACTAATTGTTTATTATGGAGAAATAAACGTTTATATTTATTCAGACAGATGGCGCAAGCCATCAGCAAAACTTTCAGTTTCACAATCAGGAGATACCTTTCTCATAATTTATCAATTTGATCCGCCAGTACAATTTCACTTTTGTGCTAATAATATATACAGTTATCAACGTCATCAAGCAACAATTCTTAATAATCAATTCTGTCACCGTTTGCTTTTGTGAATGGAATAAATACCCAAATATGGCCATTTCTCATAACTATCGGTGGTTCAGTGATAGAATGCTCGCCTGCCACCCGGGCGGCCCGGGTTCGATTCCCGGCCGATGCTTTTTTTTACACCTTTTAAAACTCATTTATATATTATACAAGAATGACATCCACGGCGCCAATTTATAATTGTAACGAATAGTATTTGAATCAAAACATTCAATCGGGTAAAACACGGGCGTTGCCCGGGTCATTCGGCTAGTTTATATACATGTATGGATGTTTGCAAAAATTAAAAAAAGGACACATCTCCCTTTTAATAAATGCATTAAAACAGTGAATTTATCAATTGCGCCAAATCAATGCACTTTGTTAATCTCTACCCATAACGCACAGATAAGTGTATAATTCGCAACACCAGTTTCGGTAAACTCGGACAAAAGCCATCAACCTGCAGTTTCGGACTAGGGCCTCAGGGGCAGCTTTGATTACTTAACACCATCCTACCAGAAGAGTTATGAAATCAACCGAATATGTTGATGTAAAATGGTTCTATTATAAATAGGGATATATAGTTTGTACTTTTTGTAAATATTTCTTTGAATATAGGTTAATATAAAGCAATAATACGCCGTCTATATAGAAATGAAAACATTAAGACATGAATGTTTCTTTTATACATAAAACACACTTCTACTATCCTTACTGTGATGAAAAAATATATTGGGGGTTCACCACTGATGATCAAAGCTGTTCCAATATATTTTTAATCTCAGTAAAAACAGTAGAAAAAAGTTTGATCTATGTGTAAAATAAATACTCGTATCTTAATAATTTCATTCTCTCTTTTCTCTTTCCTCAATATAGGTATAATATGTTATCCTTATATATAGTTTTATAGTGAAATGAACGTAAATCGTTAATGCTTTTGGAAAACTCAAAATCCAAAACCTTAACGATGCGTTCAAGGTAAAACTTGGGCTTTAATATGCCCCTTTGCTGCCCAATTGAAAAATCCGAGTTTTATCTTAGTAGATCTTAAGTTTTCAGGTTTTGTGTTTGAATAGTTTTATATATCTGAAATGGTTTACAAAAGTATGTCCGTAGGTATGAAATAAATGTATTTGAAAAAATATTGCCTACCACTTCTTCTTTTGGGGGGGTTGAAAAAGCTTAATGAGAAAAATGAGAATTCTAAAAAAGATTTATTATAGCAAAAAGACTATGGAAAGAGAGATGTAATAACAGATAATTAATCTAGGAAGAAACTAATACTAAGGAAAGGAGATAATTTGCATTGAATTTGATAGTAGCTGGAAAATTTTGGTTGTTGTTGTTGTCATGTCCAATGAAAAGCCTCAGATGTCTAAGTACATCTCTATCACAGCAGTCGCAATCTCTTCTATTTTGGGTGTGTAAAGCTACTGTTCCGGATCCATTTCAATTTTCTGTTGTTGTTGTGTCCAATGAAGAGCTTCAGATGTCTACGTACATCTATATCACAGCAATCTTCTCAATCTTGGGTGTGTAAAGCTACTGTTCCGGGTCCATGTCAATTTTCTGTTGTTATTGTGTCCAATGAAGAGCCTCAGATGTCTACGTACATCTATATCACAGCAATGTTCTCTATCTTGGGTGTGTAAAGCTGCTGTTCCGGGTCCATGTCAATTTTATGTTTTGCTGTCATGTCCAATGAAGAGCCTCAGAAGTCTACGTACATCTATATCACAGCAATGTTCTCTATCTTGGGTGTGTAAAGCTACTGGTCCATGTCAATTTTCTGCAAGGTAATAGAGATAAAAGATAAATTTATAGATATTTTTTAAGAGTTCCATTAATGTCGCACATCAATATATAAGAAACTTTAATTGACGCCAGAATACATTGCTTCATTGTTAGGTAGAACTGGTTTCGCTTGTATTAGCTTTTTTCCTTCATAGGGACAACCGGTACACACACGTGTTTAGCATTGGGGTGGTGTACGGGATTATATTGTGATTTAATATTTGATTTATTTCGCTCCTATTGATTCTATATTTAGGCATATATCTTGTTTGCACCATATTTGTGACAGCGCTATCGCATTGTACACTCGGGGACAAAGCTTAAGGAAGGTCGTCGTTTATTTATTATTTTTTGAAGGAGAAGAAGAAGACAGAAGCAATCTTTTTTCACAATTGATTATCTGCTTATCAAATATCTTCAGAGTTATTGTCCGAATCCTAATATACATGCTAAAAGGTACAACTTCCTTAAGTTTTGTCTATGAGTGTATTTTTTTTACTCAATCCAAGTAGGCGCGTGCATGTGGTGTAGGTCATAATAATCTGCCTTTTACTGTAGGTTCATAACATATATACCTTATATACAGACCACCTTATATACCACATTTATAACTTATGTATAAAGCAGTTCGACTTTTGCGCTTAAAAGGTTCCAGAGCTCCGTTTGGTTACTTGCACTCACTGGTAGAGATGGACTTTTGCAAGAATCAGGAACCATTGAAGCAGGAAAAAAGTGGTCACTGCGGGATTCAATCCCGAGTTGTGGATGCCTAAAGTTAACGTACTACTTGGCCACCAATCCCGCTGTATTTCATGTTATCGTGAACTATTTATTTTTCATCACCTAAAATCCAATTAATTAAAAATAACAAAGATTGCTAAATCGGTAATTTTTCAAGTTTTATTTCGTCATGGATTTCCTGGAAGTTATAGATTACATCTAACGGGATTTTCCATTCCACATATCTAATGACTACAAAATCCAACTTTCTATTTATGTAGTCATATTTAGTCATGACTTTAGATCGAATCCCTCAATGGAAACTTTTATTTCTGAAAACAAAAAATGCTTCAATGGCCTCTTATTCTTGCAAAAGTCTAACCCCACTAGTGAATACAAGTAATCAAGCAGGGCTCTGGCACATTTGTAAGTGAAAAAGTCGCCTTCTACATGTTCAAACATATGGTGCACTTGCAACAAAAGAAGTAGCTGAACAATACCTACCATGATTATCATAGCCTGTACCACAGATGTACTAAGGATAATTTTTAAAAAGAGAATCATTTTGAAAATAAGAATATTACACTTTTAATCTAAAACTATAATTTTAGTATTTGCTTTTTACCACGAATGACAGCTCTCCTTCCAATCGTATAGTACCTTGCCATGTAAGGAGTGGGTTTCCTCAATTATATTCTCGTTTGATTAAGCCAAGAACCTTGTGGTAAGATGTCATTGGTTGTGATATCTTACGCCAGTTTTTACCAGCTCGGCGATACAAGGCCGTCGCCATATTGTCTTCTGTCTCTGACATAATTGGCTTTTTGCTTTCTTTGTAAATGGGCACCAGGTGTTTTGATAAAATTGTTGATATACAAGTTTGTAAATCTTAATTACTATCTCGATTTTCACCTTAAAAAAATCTCTTTCTCTGACTATAGCACTGAGAGTAATTATTACATAACATTTTCTTCTTCTTTTTTATTCCTTTCTTTATATCCTATTCTTCTTATGCGGCTATTAGAAAATACGGGATTTGTGTTTTCTTTTTTGATTTATTTGTAGTCTGTGTACTCATTTACATAAAGTGAATGGTTGATTTTTATTCTTTTAGATTTTTCCATGTTAATAAACTTATTTTGACTCCTTCTTACGTTCTAACTAATTTTTCTGTCTAAAGAAGAGTAATTAGAGCTAACCATAATTGAATCTTTTGATAATAAAATATTGGTAAATAAATTCGTTTTCCGATCCAATATATTATGCCTTTCTCTCTTTAAAAATTAAGGTCCCCGCTTCCGTCAAAATAGAAGACAAAAGCTAAGCGCCATCTATGCCTATCTAAAATGGAAAACTTTTGCACCACCGCCGTGTCAAAGATGGTCAAATGAGGATGCGAGATAGGTAAGGATCTCTGATCAAATTCTCTTTATTTAATTCTTGAATTCATGGAGAAGAAACAAGTAACATGCCGAGATCAGCATCCAATAGCCGCCGTCAACAACAGGAAGGACAACTTCACTCCTGGCTGTCAGCTGGACTTCTTCCTTGCTGATTGTTCCGTCCACCCCCTCAGCTATTCTTGGTGGTGAAGACATGCGGTCGAACTGACCCTGCTTACCTCCACGGCGTTTGTCGAAGCTTTCTTCCTTTCATCGCCGCAACGAACGTTCAAACGAGTGCTTTATAATAAAGAATACGATGGGTTGTAACAAGGTTAAGATTTAAAAAGTCGCAAAGAAGATTAGAAGAGGAAAGTGACCTGTTGAAGGTCATAAGAAAACCCATAATTGGAGATGAAGCATATATTAGAAGGGAATAAATTGTTGGGGGGGGGGGGGGGGAAAGTGCTGGAGAGAAAAATTCATTGAAATTGAACGGTAGGATTGATGAATTGGACGAAAAGAAGAAATTACGAATAAATAAAGAATTCAAGATAAAGAAGTATGACGATAATGATAACTTGGGCATACATGCTCATTGCAGAGAAACTGAGGAATAAATGTATGATTGTAGTTTTTAACCGTCATTGCAGATATCGTGTGTAAATTTTGATTCCTAAAATATAGTTTTTGTGAAGACCACTTGGGAAAAGGTGCTCCAGTCATCACCTCGAGCTGAAGGCAGCCGCTAACCAAACATGTCCGCTCCACATCCAGCGGTTGGACAAACAGTGGGGGCGACTCCACTTAACCTACCGCCCTGCCCAACTTTTCGTATAACGTCTGGTGCATGTTTCTAACCTTGATTCAGATTTACTTCACAAATGTGAAAGGTATTCTCAAAATGTTCTTTGACATCCTTCTAACCATTCATCTTCTTTAGTAGTATAAATATTCCTCTTGGAATTTACATATATCGGCAGAAAACAAGCCAGATGGTTGAAATAGCACATTGATTTGAGGTTGTTTCAAGTTGATATAGCTCATTGTTTATATGAAATTCAAGCTACCGTCAACATATCTGACATAGATCCCCAGAGACAAGTAGTGCAAGTCTATATAGAGAATAATATAATGGTTAGCAGTTGCCGCTTCAATATCGAGTTAGACAAGTTGACTATCTATTCCAGAAAAGTTATGGGATACTACCTTTGTCCACAACAATAATTCTATA